TTCTTCTACGCGTACTTTAGGAGGCCGGTAACAAATGATCAGCATTAAAACAACACAATTACAGCACATCGACTTTCCATCGTGTGATCTATCAATAGAAAGATAAACATGTCAGGTTTTTGGACATACGTGCAATTTTCTTCACAAAGGTCAAGCAGAGTCATGAGAATGCAAATTTTACTTTATTTGGAGATGGAGTTGAAAAATTGTGCAATTTTTTCTGTGCTTGTTATTTTGACAAGTATACAAATTTCAATACAGATGAAAACACAAATTTGACATAAATAAACACATTTGATAAAAAAAAATTTAAAAAAAACACACAAATTTGACAATATGACGTCATGGCCTTTTTAAAAAACTTTCTTGATATATCAGCTATGATTGTTCATTTCAAAGTAAAGCCTAGAAATAAGCTCTATATTTATTAGAATTTTCAAGTTTTATGCAACTCAAAGAAGCACTAAAAGCAGCTTGATGTGTCCATAGTACGTTTACTTTATTCAAAGAATGATGCATATTATGTTTTGCCATTACGGTCCATTCCAAGTAATTAATGAACAGAAAACCAATCAATTCAGCAGTAATCCAGACTAGATTTGGGGGTTATCACATTAAGATTAACCTCCAGACTATGAATATTAATGTCCTTAGGCTAAGGAAAAAAATGTTGTGTTTCCTGTTTCCCGACTGACCCAGAAAAAACTGCTGACCCTAGCCTTCTTTTTGGGTGGATCCCTGAAAGGGACATTAATTTTTCAAGCTGATTACCATTTTCTAGCTCCATGATCTGACACAGGCGATGAAACCTTCTACATTTGGTTTTTCCAACATTGACATGGAAAAATATAAGTGTCCTCATGCAAGTTTTACTGTGTTAAACTAAGTTTATCACTAGAGATGGCCAAAGTCTATTAAAAAAAAAAGAAAGATAAAAAGAAAATCCCTACCTACCAGCCTTAATTTTTTCAGGACTGAAACAAGAAACACATTGTTTTCCTATGCCTTAAGACATTTTGTCCTGCCTACATGTATATAGATTTTTCTGCTGAGGCTTTTATGGGTGTAATTATGCATACTTTCATTTAACGCAGGAAAGCTGGTGTAAATCTGTTGGGAATACATTGATTTTTCTTTCATTTTGAGATAATTAGTACATGGTAAGGAATATACATATTTAACAATAATAGTAATAATTAACAATAATCACTGAAGAAATGGCTGAAAAACACCCAACCAACCAAACAAATCAATCTGTCTTAAAGGAGTACTAACCTCCAGAAGGAGGTGCTATATTTCAACACTTTACAAACATGCGCCGCGCAACTCGTACAAGCGAAATTATGTAAAAAGTCGACTAGTTATGTATTCATTGCAGCATGATGTATCGGAAAACAGCACTTCCTTCTGGAGGTTAGTACTCCTTTAAAATTTGTATACTTTTTGCTAGCAGATGTTCTCTTCTTTTCTTTTTGCTGCAACTTTTTTTGGAAAAAATCCAAGAAAGAACATTTATTACATTCACGTAGCTTTAGGGCCTCCAATATTTCATCTTTTATAATAATCTTTCCTCTTAGTTTTTTGCCATATCTTTTTTGGAGGAGATCCAAGAACGAACATTTTATTACACTGGTATAGCTTCAGGGGCCTACGATCCCTGTTGCCTTCAAGTACATTGGACCATGTGACTCAGAGTCAGGTATATTACTTCATCAGTTCATAAAAATGATCATTTATAGTCAACATTTCCAGCGAGCTTTACCCTAAGGAGTTTTATGGTTAATCATTTAATTGCAATACATTGTAAATCCCATGCCGTTAGTAGCACATTTGGGGCCTGTGTGTAACTATGCATGCAAGTCCCAATGGAGCTTGCACATTAAACAATATGATACTTACATCGTATATATGTACCTTGAGCTCTGCAAAGATGACAGAAGTCTGCACTGACTTGATTTTATGGAGGACATCCACGTGTGCTCACTTTTTGTCCATTTAAAGGTTTGCAACCACAATTTGTTCCTCTAGGTACATTGTACTTGATGAGTGATAGAGGTCTGAGTGAGTGAGTGAGTGAGTGAGTGAGTGAGTGAGTGAGTGAGTGAGTGAGTGAGTGAGTGAGTGAGTGAGTGAGTGAGTGAGTGAGTGAGTGAGCGAGCGAGCGAGCGAGTGAGAGAGAGAGAGAAAGGGAGAGAAAGGGAGAGAGAGACAGAGAGAGAGAGAGAAAGGAAAAGGAGAATATGCCAGAGAAAGTGAAGCAGGGCTCAAATTACCACTTGTTTGTTTGTTTGTTTGTTTAAGGAACCCACAAAAGGAGACAATACAACCACTACTCTTCCTAGAGTCCTCTTACATATGTTGTTAAATCCAAACATTTTATTATTAAATGCATTCACTTCCACCCAAAAACATTGCCTTATATTACTAACATTTGCTATCTAGTAATAACAATAATACAGTAAACCACTTGCTTGCACCACCAACAAGTCTTCCAAAATTAAAAGCCAGAAAACATTTACTATATTTCATGAGGAAACTGAAAACATTTTCATAGGTTTTCCCTGAAAACATTTTTGTAGGTTTCACGAGAACTTAAGAACCTTAAGTGCCCATGTCTGCGAGGAATGTTAAGTAACTGTCTAGTCAGTCCATTAAGCCTGTCCTCACAGCCCTCCGCACAGGTCGTGACAAATGACTCGGGTCCAGCAAATACGTCTTCCCCGCTCCCAGGCCCCGCAGCTTCCAAATGAATCCCCGTTGGTGGAGAAGGCTGACACATTGGGTCCATCAGTGATGTAACAAATGTGCAGGACTTTGTCCTATTACCATGGCTTGAAATACAGGGTGCATGTGCACCTTAGTGCACCCAACATTGGAGCTGTGCACCCAATTTTGCACCAGAGCACCCAAATATTTTCATAGATTTATGTCTGTAAACTAAGGTGTTGAAATATTCTTAACATCTAAGTGTCAGGAAAATAATGAAATCATTGTTGTACAATTGTAGTACTTTTCTTTAGAAATGGAACACAATTTTTTTTTGCTGACGTTCTTCTTATTGCGTTCTATACGGTGCCCCCCCCAAAAAAAAATTTTGTGCACCCAATTTTTAGGTTGGGTGCACCAGTGCACATATTTCCAAAAGTGAATTTCGAGCCCTGAATTGTAACAAATGTGCAGGACTTGTCCTATTCCTCATCCACCCATTTACGTAAATGACTCTGTCCATGGTGCTGATTTTGCAGCTGTATGCATCAACTGGTCTGTCTGCAGCCTTCGATAACAGTTTTCAGTCTGAAACCTGTGGAATGGGTGATAAGAGTGCTTTAGCCAGGAAACTGGAGAAATTCATACTCTAGTAAATCTACAAAAAAATTATTTTTGTGCTTTATAACCGAGAGGAACGAAAAAGAAACTACATGACATGAAATAAAACCTGTGGAATAGGTGATAAGGGTGCTTTAGCTATTAAAATGTTGAAATTCATATCCTTGTAACTCTAACAAAAATTATTTTTGTGCTTTATAACCAAGAGGGACAAAAAACAAACTACATGACGCGAAATAAAACCTGTGGAATAGGTGATAAGGGTGCTTTAGCTATTAAAATGTTGAAATTCATATCCTAGTAACTCTAACAAAAATTATTTTGTGCTTTATAACCAAGAGGGACAAAAAGAAACTACATCACATGAAATTAAACCTGTGGAATAGGTGATAAGGAATCCGATGCTTTAGCTCGAAAAATCGTGAAATTTGTACTCTACCAAAATTATTTTAATTTGTGTTACATGATCAAGAGGGACAAAAAGAAACTACAATGTACATCACATGTAACACTTACTAAAAAAAGTAATATCCACTAAATATAACTTAAACCTCATAGTTCATGTCTTGCATACTTTCTGCTATGAATAGCTGCTTATATTTCTATTCATGTGGTATGAGGAGCCCATTTTAATTATTCATTATGAAATGTCCCAGATCCTAATTCTTTGTACATGTATGGCATGTTTTGGTAGTCTTCTTGAATATATAAATGCCCTAGTTACATCCACTTTAGGCCACACCAATTTAATTTGTTGGTTCTTGGATTTTTTCAGAAAAAATATGAAGCGACAGGGCGAAATAAAATAAAAAATAAAAACAGGTCTAGGCATCCTATCATAGCCCCAAATGCTAAGATAGGAGCCAAGAAGTCAACACAAAAGGCTGGGTTAATGTTTAAACAATGAATTTTGAACTTTTAATCAAACCACTGCATTGATAGATGGATTTAAACTGTAATAACTAGGAGAAAGGACTTTCCTCAACTGTTGGAAGCAAAATATGAGCATATTTGAGTTGATTCAGAACCAGAATTTTTTTTTTTTTTGCAAATCAGGAAAAAATGAAGAGGCGAATCCGAGAACCAACAAATTAAATTGGTGTGGCCTTAGGACATGATCGTGTGTATGAATGTTGCTGTGCTTCATAATCACAATATAATGTCTGTAATTAACCTCCATTAATTAATCATTTTAAAATGATAATAGGTATATGGTAAAGCAGGTTAGGCCCAGAATGTAATGCTTATGAATAAATATAAGCTCTACCTTGTTTTTTTAATACAACTGTTACTGTAACTGTTACAATAATTTTGCAGCCTTACATTGCAGTCATTTTATTCTTGATGAATAATCATTGTATATAGAAAGCTATGATCCCACCTCTTTCATGCAGTTTAGCTGCAGAACGTCTAGGTTCAAGAATAGTGTTTAACCTTTTATTGTTGAGCTGCTGAATCATTCTTGATAAATTTTAATGTGTATCATGCCCCAATTCAGCCATGTAAGGCTGTAATGGTATGTGTGTTGTGAATAATAAATAGACCAGTAATTAAAAAAAAAATTTTCCATTTATAATGTACTAGTACTAATCACATCCAGGTATCGAAGTATTGTTTTGAGTGGCTCATTTGTGAGTCTAAAAACACTAATTTCTTTTTTTTTTATTTTCCAGCATGTTTGCCAAGGAGAGAGAACGAGTAGAAAACAGGAGGGAATTTTTGAAGATGAGACGCCAGGCCCAGATAGAAAAGGAGCTGAACGGATACTTGGAGTGGATCTGCAAAGCCGGTATGTCCCTCTCTACCCCTGCTGATGTGTCTGTCTTGCGCTGCATTCAGTTCACAATTAGGCCACACCAATTTAATTAGTTGGTTCTCAGATTTTTTTCAGAAAATATATGAAGCAACAGGGCGAAAAATAAAAATAAAAACAGGTCTTAGGCGTCCTATTATAGCCCTAAATGCTACAATAGGAGCCATGAAGTCAACACAAAATTTGGATTAATGAATGAATGAAAGACCTTTAATATTTAACAATGAATTGTGAACTTTTGATCAAACCACTGCATTGATAGATGAAAAAACTGTGACAACTAGGAAGAAAAGGTCTTTCCTCAACTGTTGAGGGCAAAATATGAGCATATTTGAGTTGATTCAGAGCCAGAATCTTTTTTTTTTTTGAATCAGAAAAAAATGAAGAGCCGAAAACCTTGAACCAACAAATTAAATTGGTGTGGCCAAAGACACAGCAGTCCCATTTGCATGTAAATTGTGCAGCACTCATCATTTGTGACTTATAAAGTGCTTTGTAGATGTGGGCTTAGATCATTTACCTCCGTACTTGCAGTCCTGTGTTTTAGCATCGATTGTGGCATGATCTTGTTGACCTCATTCATTATGAAGCCGTTGCACATTGTTGCGCATGTGATGTCCCGAAGTGTGGGGCATGAGTAGCCCTGGAATGCTTGACATGCTTTGCACAATCCCTAGAATATTAAAAGGCTTAGTGTTTGACTGTACACCTGCGTATACATTGTAACATCTGTGTCCATAATATCACCAGGGTCCATAATATCACCACCTTGAGAAACAGTGTGCTTAAAGATATTTTTACTGCGACATACTTTTGGTATGCACTCCTTCACACATCAAATGATTGTACATACCTAGGGTATGTTGCAGTAAAAATACCTTTAAGCACACTATTTCTCAAGGTGGCGATATTATGGACCCTGGTGATATTATGGACACAGATGTTATGTAATGTTTTAAGTTTTATTTCATCTTGATTCACAAAAGTAGACGTATATTTCAGTTACTGTTAAAGATATTTTGGTTGATATTTTTTTGATAACAAATACATTTTGGATAGTTAGCAATCTCTTTACTTTTAACTATTCTATTAATAAGCATATCAAATGTAGCATTGGTTATATCTTTTCATATGTTTAATATCAATCGCTTGAGCTTTAAGTGTCATAACTTTTCTTTCATTGGGAAAAATAGATTGTTTCTTTTTCATTGTATAATCAGAGAAAAAATTTTCTTTCTTTCTTTTTCCTGCATCTGAAAATTTGCATGTTGATATGTAGAGCTGTACTGTGCTTGTGTCTTGCATCTTGTTCATATACTAGATGTTTCGATTTGCTGTATCTAATTGCCTCTCTATAAACATGTGGCCCTTCCTATCCAACACTAGATGTCATTGTGTACAATGTAGGTTCAAGAAAGAAACCCTGAGGTACACCATGTTCTGGTGAACATACATTTGTACATGGCCTCTTTAGGGTAAATTCATAGCACTACAAATATGTCTTCCCTGCATGCATGACTAATGTTCTACAGAAACATTGTTTCAACAATTAATTTGAAACACAGTGAAATCTCCCTTTCCCTGAACTACTGCAAAAAAAAAAATCACTGCAAAAATCTCACAATTTACAGTATCTGATCTGAAACCACCAAAACACAAAAATAAAAAACCTTCCTTTGTCAGGAAAAAAATCATAATAAAACTGCCTCGCTGTGTGCCTGCAAAGCTTGTATGTTACATCAAGGGGCAGTTCTACCAGCTACATGTATACAGATACAGATCATATTGAACTGGAATGGCCACATGTTGTGGGGTTGTGGAGGGTTCTCAAAGATGTCTGTGTGTCTCTTTCTCTACAGAGGAGGTGATTCTTGCTGAAGCTGCCCAGCGTGGTTAGTCTGTCCTTTCTGTCTTTCCAAACTTCCCTGCACTGAACTTTTAAACTTTCCTTTAGGCCACACCAATTAATGATGTTTACCGAAGGAAAACGTATTGTTTTTGCTCTGTTTCTTCTTCCGTTCCAAACACTGACCTCTGATCTGGTCAATGACATGAACCAGACCATCCGTTACCATGGTAACTGGTGTTGGGTTACATAATGTTGCAATTTTCTAGTAGGAGGGAATTAGACTCCTGTCACCATATATGTGAATGTGTTTGAGTAAGAATTAACAGAGCAGACCGAATGCAAACTCAAGGTAAATGTTATGCATTTGCTTTGCAAATGTTACCTTTCTAGTTTGATTTGTTGGTTCTTGGATTTCTTCAGGAAAAATATAAAGCAACGGGGCAAAAGAAAGGCCTAGGCATCCTAAGATAGATCCAATTGCTATGATAGGAGCCATGGAGTCAACATGCTAGGCTGAATTCTAATTCAAACATTGAATTTTTAACTTTTAATCAAAGCACTGCACTGTTAGTGGGAACACCGTTACAGTAACAACTCATTCCTTTTTTGCAAATCAGAAAAAAGTGAAGCAGGCAAATCTGAGAACCAATCTATTAAATTGGTGTGGCCTTACTATTACATTCTGCTTGCCTTTCAACAATATGAATCTCAAACTTATAAATGTGTAAAACTTGAACTTCAGAAGTTATCATGGAAAATCAGGCCCTAACATTAGCTAAGGACAGTGCTTACTTTGCATATCCCTACATCAACCTTGTTCATAAGCATATACATCCCTTGGCTAGTTTTACAGAGATAGCAGGTGAGATTCGGGCGCCATTTTCCGTAGGCATGAATGTATGTACTAAGGCCGATAAGCCCATCGAAGGACCTTTTGGCTCCTTTGTTTCCTCAGGGATTTTATGGTAATTGGTGGTCCTTGGTACAACGGGTTTACGTCAGGTCATACTCTAATCCTACCTCGTAAATGCCAGTATCTGATGGTGGGGGAGTTTTCCAAGGGTATCTGATGTGTGCATGCTTTGAATTTCAGATATTTAAGGCCACACCAATTTAATTTCTTGGTTAACGGATTCGCCCGCTTCATTTTTTTCTGATTTGCAAAAAAAATAAAAATTCAAAATCAACTGCAAAATGCTCATATTTTGCCCTGAACAGATGGAAACAGTCCTTTTATTCCTAGTTGTTAAAGTTATTCCATCTTTCAATGCAGTGGTATCATTAAAAGTTCAAAATTCATTGTTTGAACCAGCCTGGTGTGTTGACTTCATGGCTCCTATTGTACCATTTTGGGCCATAATAGGATGCCTAGGCCTGTTTTTATTTTTATTGTTTTTTCGCCCGCCCGCTCCATTATTTTTCTAGAAAAATCCGTTGACCAAGAAATTAAATTGGTGTGGCCTTAAGGGCTTGTCTTACAGAGTTACAGCTAGCTGAATGATATATTTAATCTTCTCCGTCCATGTCCAAACTACAAACTAAAGACTTCCGTCTAACAGTTTTACTCCTATTTTCTCGTTCGTTTATTTCGATATCCTTTAGTCCATGACGACTAGTCTTCCAGGATTCAAAACATATAAACATATGAACATACTGACACATACATGAACATACATAATCATCACAAATTATATACAGGTTAAACAAAATCATGACTTAATATATACAACTTAACTTATGTACAACTGGTGGATGGCCTTTTTGAATTGATGCAGACTGGCCAGTGTTTTGATACTGGGTGGCAGGGTGTTCCATAGATTAATGGCGCGGTAGAGAAATGACGACTCAACCTATGTTCTGTCAACCTTAAACCACATGTTGGAATGTAGGAGTGTCGGTGAAAGCAAAACAGAGATTTTTTTTAGTGCGTTCCAAAAAGAAATGTTGCAGGAACAGACGTTTATGCTGGTGTGAGAGGTTAGGCTGAAAGCACAGTAAGACGTATCTGTTTCTAGTATGTTAAATCCCAACTGGAAGCCCTGCAAACCAACACAAAGCCAGACATGGTGTGAAGAATGTCTATCTGTCTGAGGAGAGTGTCTGGCCTACGTGAGCAGAATAAGACTCCCCTGATTCCGGAGACCCTCCCGGCATAATTGCTGTGCTTCCTGTAAGGCCAAAGCGAGTGAATTTTATGGATGACATCAGCGCGCGCATTAATTTTTGCCTGATTTTGGGAAAAAAAAACAAGAAATTTTGTTGCCTTCTGACAGTGGTCAACATGGTGAAAATGGGCAAAGATGTCTGTTGCCATGCCGGAAGGTGCATGGCAGATAAATATGAAGAGAGGAGAGAAGAAAAGGCTCTGATTTAATGTTTTGTTTCTAACTTTGATGCAGTGATATGTGATGCTGGCTGTGTAGTATGTGATGTTCCCACTGAATCAAAACCATTTGTACAATGATTGAGTCAAATTTAAAAATGTAGGAACCTTGTTTTTTCGGCCCGTCTTGTTTTTTTTCCCCGCTCGCATTAGATTTGGAGTCTGCGGCGGATGTCATCCATAAAATTTACTTGCTGTGGCCTAATGTTAATGCACAGACTCCGTGTGGGGCTATTGTGCCAGAACAGACGGGACGCCGAAAAACTCAGGAACTGATTCGATGAATCCCCTGATGTGGATTTATCATACGTGTACACTGTGTTATCAGGGACATTTGGGTATAAAACAGTTGTGTAGGGCAGAGGGTAGGACAGAAAATTTACACCGTAGATTCTGAAATTGTCACAGAATATTTCATTGAAAAGGAGGTCTTATTAGATGGTCAAAATGCACCTTTCTCTATTAATATGAGGATTAAATTTTAAGTAATAGCAGACCTGTGAAGAATATGCAAAGGCAATATGAAAGGATGATTTGTAAAGTTTACCTCCAATGCAAGTTCAATTTGGAGAAAATATTGCTTGCTTGAGACATTGAAAGAATGAGACCATCCCTTGTGGCATTATGAAAATTGATGCACTTTCTGATATTTCAACTTTATCCAGGCAAAGGAACAGCTTTTATTTCATTATATCAAGGCCCCTGCTGCGATATAACTGTTTTTCATGAAGTAACCCATTCATGATTTGATGCACAAAAGTCCTCATCAATATGTGTAATGTCATTTAGATGGGGCCATTGGAGGTCATTTTAATTCAGTTACGACAATCCTTGCTATAAAATTGCTTGAACCAGGCTGGGGTGAACAAACTTATTCAAAAGGGAAATGCTGACCCTTGGCTGGCTGCCACAAATGTTGTGTTCTAATGTATGGATAGACTTTGTCCTTCTGTGGTATGTATTGATTGTTTGAGGCCCAACAGACCAACTACCTACTACATGGTTCAGGGATGAGCGGGGCTACATGTATATTAAGTGCACTCAAAATTGAAGGGTTAGAAGGTTGATTATTTTGATGAGTACTTATTTGTTATGATAATTATCCTTTTGCCATGACTCATATTAAGCAACACACAATCTTTGGGTTGAAATTACATGTATGGCAAGTAGGAAACTATATACATGTATTGGGCCTAAATTACTACTGTAACTATATATACATTTAACTTCTTCACATACATAAACCTACTAAAATATTTGGGTGCATCCACAGAAAATAATTGGGTGCACAGCCCCAAATTTGGGTGCACTAAGGTGCACATGCACCCAGTATTTTGAGCCCTGGACTATATCCTTATAGCACTAAATCAGAGTGTAATAGAGTAAGACACACCATGCATACATGTGCAAAATCTAACAAAGTCATAAACACTAGAATTGTGTTTTATGCTCAGATAATAAAATCTGAAATAACACACACATTGTGAATGCACCTGCACTTCATACATGTGTGCACTATACAATCTGTGATTGACTTTTATGACCTCAAAGCAAGATAATTTCAGATAAAGGGATGAGACATCAATATTTTATGGCAGACAAAGTCTGTTTTTATGGGACCTTTATGATGGCTAATCGAAAAAGGGTGGCCCAAAAGTGAAATTACCTGTTCAAAATTAGCCTCCGTAGCAGGCTTATAGAACTGGGGGTTTGGTGGTCTTTGGCTATTTTCTGATTAGCCCAGTTCTAAAAAACGGGGGCAATTCAACCAGGCCGGCTATGTTGTCTATATGCAATCGGAAAATAGCACATAAAAGCGCCCAAAGACCTGATGAAGACCCCCAAAACCCCCAGTTTTTGGCATGCTATGGAGACTACGTTAAGATCTGTAATCTGTCCTGGCATACACAGGATGTCCAGATCATTTAACCCTGATGTCACCTTAACTCTCTACTCAGCAGTGACATTTATGTACATAGATGGAAAACAGTTAACCATCACATTCAGTGGGCTCGTTTCCATGTTGTATTTAGTAACTGGAAACTGGTTAGGATTTGATAGATTAGTACCTTGTATGGTTTAACAGCCAGGAATTTCTGGCTCTGATTCTCTCCAACGATTGCCTCCAAGCAGAATAGTCTTGTCCAGTCCCCATTGAAATGTTCAGTCCTTTACTTCCTGCAATGTTTGGGGAATCAAATATTTCTCACTCAGAGGCAGTGTACTGAGTCTACTGCTGAATTCTTGTCTGAACCGTTACCTTGTCATTACAAGGACTATTTGGCAATCAAAACTTTGCTTATATGATGTATTTTATGTCAATATTCACTTTTTCTATATCATATAAATGGACTATTCTGTAGGGAAGCAAGCAACGGAGTAAACAAAGCTAGAATAGGATGGGTATATAGGGCTTAAGTACTGCCATTGCTGTAGGGAGTTTTCTCACACACTGACTGATACAATTCTGATTTTTCGTGTTTCAGAGGAGGTAATATTAGCAGAAGACAAAGAAGCTGAGCAAAAGAGGAAAGGTAGGTCATCTTTGGCAGAAATACTTTTAGTGAAATGACAGTTAAACCCTTAATTTTGTTAAAAAAATGACATAACATCCATGTCCATAACATCACCAGGGTCCATAATATCGCCACCTTGAGAAAAAGTGTGCCTAAAGATATTTTTACTGCAACATACCCTAGGTATGTACATTTGAGGTGTGCAGGAGTGCATACCAAAATTAAAAATATCTTAAAGCACACTTTTTCTCAAGGTGGCGATATTATGGACCCTGGTGATATTATGGACACGGATGTTACATTATGAACTGCAGTTATAAAGAGATCAAATTTTCAGCAACCACTGTCAAGATCAATTGCTTACGTCACGTATCAGTAAAGTTTTGTGTGATTAAGGTCATGTGTTTGTAAACGGTAACTCTCGCGAGATCACGTTGTGAAGTGATTGGTCAACATTAATTATCCTGATGAAGGTGACAGTGGTCGCTGAAAATTTGATCTCTTTGTAAACTGTGTATTGGAATAAAGTTCAATGTTTTACTATGATTTACTACCAACACAGATGAACTTTCATGATATTATGAACTGCATTCACCAGTGGAATACTTCGATCACAGTCTAAGAGAAATAACACTAAGAAATGAAGTTTGCAACTGTTGAATACAGACTGGGCATTGGTTTATACACAATTTGGGGAAAAGTTACAGTTGGGTAAAAATATATATAATCTGTTGTTGTATCAACACTTCTCCTGCTGGCATTTTTTACACAATATTTTTCAAACATTTCATGTCTTAATCCAGTCAAAGACCCTTGATTTTTTTTTTTTTTTTGCCCTGCGGTGGTGTAGTTACTTCTGCATTCGTTGCATTTTGCTGCGATGCATTGCACGAGAAATACCCCCAAACCGTACCTACATTATTTTGTACATGTACCGTATACAGGGTGCTATATGGATGGTACTGTATGTGCAAAACAACAATTGTTGGGCTCCGCAGGACTAGGGTTTTAAGTTACACTTTGTCTGAGTCACTGTGAAGTCTGGCCTATATAATTATATATATTCTAATGCTTCATATCTCCCTGTTTTTCTTTAACAGCCCAACAGCGCAAAAAAGGGAAGAAGGGCACATCCCAAGAGGGAGATGGTAATATGCATTTCTTTGTACATTTCTCTACACAAAATCTAACAAAATATAAGGAAAATACTAGCAAAAGGATGATTATGATCAAATATCGATTATCGCATTTCTCCATACATTTCTCTACACAAACTCTTACAACATAAGGAAACAGAACAATTATTATCGAATATCAAATCTATTTCAGCACTTTAAACCCAAAACTTTGTTAACAGGAGTAAGCAGCAAGACATTGTTACCTTGTATACATGTAGATATATTTAGTAAATGGAATTGTGCTGTTAAGGACAGAGCCAATATGATGATAACACATGACCAACTGTAGCAGAGATTTTCATTGGGAATTTGATATGCATCCAGGCTGGATATACCAATATTTTCTGTTCTCATCTGTAATCCTTTGACAATGACTACAGGATTGTTTGAAATAAAGGCACAAAAGGATGGTTTATTCCAGTTTTATGCAACAAATCCTTCATAAAGCAAACTGGGAATTGTGAAATCCTTTTCATGTGCAAATTTGGTGCAATTTATCAGCCACGAAGACCTGTTTTCCAACAGTATCTGGCAATGGGACTTTGGCAAAGGTCCAGTGTATTCAGTTTGCATTACCTTCTCTATCATTTTGTCTGATGGATACTCTTAAAATTGCACAAGGCAAAAGTTTGGCTCTCCCTCAAATTTTACCACCAAAATAACTGGATACAGGAGGTTTTTTTTTACACAACCAAAATTTCTCACCTAAGTGCTGACGTTTCAGTGTCTATCAGACACCTTCCTCAGAGCTTTTTGATTGAAGTTCTGCTTCTCAATGCTATATGTAGCCGATGTAGGTGGCACTTTTGCGACGAAAACACAAACTCCTGTATCCTATACTTTTCCAACCTGATGAAACTATTTTCGGAACCAAAATAACTTTATTTTTTTAGCACGCTAGAGAACATTTTTGAAAACATTCATTCCTTATTAGAGGCTAAATTGTTGTTGCTGTTTTTTTGCTCCATCAAAACAGGCTTCTCCCACAAGAAATAGGATGATTTTGGCTCTCCCTCAAGTTTTGCAACCAAAATAACTTTTATCTTTTTAGCACTCTAAGAGCATTTTTGCAAACATTCATGAGGCTAAATGCTTGTCGCTGTTTTTTCACTCCACCAAAACAGGCTTCTCCCACAAGAAAGAGGATGATTTTGGCTCTCTCTCAAGTTTTGCAACCAACATAACCATTATCTTTTCAGCACCCTAAGAGCATTTTTGCAAACATTCAATCCTTATTAGAGGCTAAATTCTTGTTGCTGTTTTTTTTGCTCCATCAAAACAGGCTTCTCACACAAGAAACTTACTCACTCAAGCTTTGCAACCAAAATAACTTACTACTAATTTTAACTTTTCAGCACCCTCTAGAGCATTTTTACAAACATTCATGTCAGAGGCTAAATGCTTGTTGCTTTTTTTTTCACTCCATCAAAACAGGCTTCTCCCACAAGAAAGAGGATGAAGGTGGTGCCTGTCCGAGTTGGAAGGTTTTCGAGAAGAGAATCAGATATGGCATAAGGCGCATTGTGAAGACCCAGGTGTTCTACTGGGGTGTGATCTGCCTCGTATTCCTCAACACTATCTGCACTGCCATGGTTCATCACGGACAGGACCCCCTTCTCACATCCTTCCTAGGTCAGTCTTATTTGTTACGTTTTATAATACCGAAGAAAAACATATTGTTTTTGCTCTGTTTCTTCCTCTTCTTCTTCTCCAAACAGTGACCTCTGACCTGACCAATCACATGATTTGTTGACGTCTGTCACCATGGTGACTGGTGTTGGGTTACATAATGTTGCAATTTCATGGTCTGCTCTGCTCCTGTCACCATATACTAGTAGTACATGTACAAAATGTATGTGAATGTGTTG